CTGGTTCTATTTCTTTTATATCTGATGCAATTGTGCAGTATCCGTATTCTTCTATTTTTCTTCCAGTTCTTTTAAAATATTCTTCTTTCAATTCTTCTATTATTATTTCTTCTTTAATATTCATTTAGATTGAGTTAGATCTTATTCTTTTTGGTTTCCCAATTGATTTGTTGCTTTCCAGTAGTATTCTATTGATTATTTTGTCAGTGGCTTGTTCAAGCCTTTCTTTTTTCCTTTTTTAATTCTTTGACTTTCTTTGCTTGGTCTAGAAATTCTTGACTAAGTTTATTTATTTCCGTATATGCTGATATGTAACTTTCTTCTTCTTCAAAATATATCTTATTTCTTGCTCCTTCAGAATACAATATATTGTCAATTGCTTCTAGATGGTGTAATATTAGATGATGAAACCTGAACGGTAATATTGTGAACTGGTTATTATTGTCTCCGTAATAGAATTCTGTTTCTTCTGTTTCAGGGTTTTCTTCAAATATTTTGCAAAATTCTGGTGACTCTGCTAGTAATCTTTTCTTTATTCCTTCGATCTGTGCTTGTGTGTTATCTAAGAAATTGTTGTAAATGTTTCTTTGTTTCTTTTGTTCCTTAACAAGTTCTCTTCCTGTTAGATTCGGAAATAAGGTTGCTGTTCTTGTTAAAATATGGGGTGGTATTCTATCCGGTCTTTGTTTATCGTATTCCAGTGTATGTGGATAGAATTCTCTTGCTATACTTTTAGCTCCTTCAAGTGTCAATAGGATTGCTCCTAGTCTTGAATTATTTGTAGGGTTTATTCGATCAATGAGGTCGTTAACTGTATTCCAGATATCGTCAGTTATTTGTATGAGCTCTCTTGATTTCAGAATGTCTTTATTTCGTGGGTATCTTTTTGCTTTCCTATTTTTAGGTGGTCTTGAAATTGGTTTCCAGTTAAATCTGAATTTTCTTAATTCTTCTAATGTTTTATTTTGTTCTTCGTTCATTAAATTGTTCTTTGGCAAGTTTAATAGTATAGGCTTTGATAATCCTTTCTTTAATTAGTTTGATTATATAACAAATGGATATTAATAGTATGGTATGTTCTAATAAAATTATAAAGTATATTGTTGTTCGATCGTAGGTAAGTACTGATAATGTAAGGTGGTTCATCCACAATATGGTAATATTAGTTAAAGGTATTGCTTCTATAAGTTGGTCCACTTTGTATTATTGATATGTAAAAGGGTTTCAATTATTTTATCAACTATTTCTCCTTCTATGTTTTGGATGGAAATTTCTTTTATCTTTTCTTCAAGTATTCCTTGGTTCACTGATATTGATATAAGAGCTGTTTTATAGTATTCTTTTAATCTTGGTGTTTCAAGTGTTGTTAATTCTTTTATTATTTCTGATTTATAATTTTCGAGTAGCAGTATTATTTTCTTTATGTAATAAGTTCTTGTTTTTCTATCGGGCATTAAAGATATCAGTTGGTAATCCCAATCTTTTATTGTTGATTTGGTCGTAAGCGTAATATACAGTGTATTGTCCAAATGCTGTTTGAAGTAATATTCCTATTGCTTCAGTGATTATAGGCGTTCCAATGATCTCTAAGTTATTAGTTCTTGGGTTCCTTCTAGTAGTCGAGGTTTCTAATATTAGCTGGGTATGGTGTTGTAATAGATAATCTTGGGTTGCCTGAGTTAGTCCTGTATTTGGAAATATTATTTGTATGGCTTGGTCGTTTTCCTGGATATTTCGTGCTCCTTCTAATGCTAGTAATGTTCTGTTTAAGTACGCTTTTTCTGTTTCTGATAACTGTGGTTCTTGAGTTCTCCTTATGGGTTGCCGTGACATTCACTCCTCTTCGCGGGTGTCTTTAAGCTGTTTTTCTTCTATTTTAGCGAGTTTGTATTCTTTGCTATTCGATTTTTACTAATTTATAATTATATTTAATTTTCTTTTCGTAGGTTCCTTTAAGTAACTGATCGATTGTTGGTCTGATATATTCGTGTGATCGTAATAAGCCTGTGTTTTTTGGGTAGAACCAGTATTCTGTTAAGTTGCTTTCTTCAATATAGAATTCTACAAGTTTTCTTATTTGCGAAAGGTATTTCCTTTGTACTATTACTTCTGACTTGTTACTGTTTATTGTTTTGTAAATTGTTGTTGCTCTTTTAAATAGAAATGTATACTCGTTATTTTTATAAGCTTCTTCTAGTGTGAGTTGTCCTTGTAAGGTCTGGATTTGGATTTTTATTTGGTCAAGGAGTCCTTGCAATTTTATGTTTAGTTCTTCCTTTGATAATATCTGTTCAACTACGTTATTTTCTTGGTTAGAATCTTGGAGATCAATATAGTCTTTTGTAATGTTTCTTAAAAATTTCTTTTGTTCGTGTATTTCTGGGTTCATTCAACTAATGGTTCAATATATGGTTAAGGGTATGGTCCTTTTTCTTTGGTTGAGGTCCTCGTGGTTTATAAAATTTAGTATTTTGACAGGTGATTCCTTTCCACTTGCAACGGTCACAAGTACTTTCTTGTTTGGAATAATTGCAGCGTATATGTTCGTTTCTACAATTGTCACAAGATTTGGTATTTCTTTTGTTATTTCTTGGGGTGTTTTTGTTTTTCATGTATATGCTTTGAGCATGTAGGTTCATGGTTCAGTTCTTAGTCCTTTTATAATTTTTCCGTTCAATATAGTTCAATAAGTTAATAGTTCTTTATTGTTCTGGCTCATTTAGTTCATTGGTAAATAATATTAATAATACAATGTAAATATTTATATTTAAATAATTGCTAAATATGGATATATTGAATATTTTAATATCTGTAAATGTTTTATATCAATTGTTCAGAATCTATTATTGTATCTGATATTGTGGCTTCTGAATTGTTTTGCGCGTTTCATCTCATCAGTTTCATCTTCTGATGGATCTTCAAGATTTACGTGTTCTTGAGTATCTTTCAATTTCCTTTTTAATTTCTGGTTTTCATTTTGGAGTTCCAGGGTCGACTGTTCCAAAATTGTAATCCTTCTAGTGAGGGCCTTGTTTTCTTGTGTGAGTTTGAATTGTTGTTCTGCCATTAGTCCGAATATAGCGTATAGTTCTTCAATTTTTCGGTTAGTATTATACCCTGGTGAAGTTGGTCTTGATCGTTGGATTTCTTCTATCCCTTCATCAAAATCCATCTGATTGTTGGGTTCTTCATCAAGATTTTGTTCCTCATTGGGTATTTCTTTTGAAGTTTCTTTTTCAGTGCTTAATTCATCAGGTTCTCTTTCGAAAGTAAGGTTTACTGCTTTCGCGTCGATTTCCTTTTGGCAGTCTTCGCAATACCCTTTTTCATTTTGTTCTTTTGGCATGAAGCATTCCTTGCATAGTGCTATGTTTCCCAATTGCCGTTCCTTTAAAAGTTCTTTCGTTTTTTCCATTTCCTTTCGGATTTCTGCTTCTGTCATGGGCCTTGTTCTTACATCTCTGTTTAGAGATAAAAGTCTTGCTTCGCGCATTTCAGAGTCTTCATCATCTCCTAAATCTGTTAGTTCTTCATATTCATTGGGTTCGTTTTCAAAAAGGTCTCGTCCGTGAATTCTGGTGAAGTAGTTGGTTCTAATCGGTCTACTATCTTCATCGATTTCTGGATCATTAAATGTGTCATTGTTATATTCAGAATCTATTTCTTTAAAGTCCTCATTTTCGTGATGCCATTTGTTCATATCTTCTTTATATTCTGTTATGTATCTGATTATTCTTTTAATTTTTGACTCATTAATATTGTAAGTAATATTTGTATTGTTTCTGGTAAGGCGTCTGATTTTCTCATCCAGTTGTTGGTTCGTTAGTCCTTCCAAAGTAGGGTTCGTATTATTGAAAATCATTTGGGCGAATTTATGTTCTTTATTGCAAAAGTGCATTCCGTCGTGACTTTCCATCCTTCGAGTTATGTTTGGTTTCTCACAGAGTCGGCAGATGGTTTTCCTGCCTTGTCCTAGTTCATTAAAGTACTTTTTACTTCTTGGGTCCTTGAAGTCCAATGCTTCATGCATCTCGGAATAACATCCTTTACAGTAAAGTGTTTCTTCAATGTATATTACTTGAAGGGTGTAAGGATCTGTGAATAGTCCTTTGATGTAATAAAGATCTTCTTTGGCTGTCGGCCTATTGCATTCCTTTCTACAGCAATGATGCTTGTCACGCTGTTCATTATATGTTGCCCAATTAACATGCTCTTCTCTTCTTCGGATGATTCTTTCGGGATTGCATTTACAAAAGAGGTTCGCGTTTTCTTTCAGGAGTTTGGAAGTTCTACATTGATGGTTTTCATGTCCAGTGGTTTTGCAGTAGGTGCAGTATTTAGAGTTTGACGCGGTCGCGTTGGTACTACTGTTATTAATGTTGATTGGATGATCATTTCTATTTCTTGCTTCAAGACAGTCACGTGCCTGATGTCCTTTTTCGTGACATTTATAACATTCATTCTCTGGGCAATACCGATTAGTATGTCCTGGTTGTTTGCAGATATTGCAAATATATTTTCCTAAGTTCTTTTGTTTTTCTTTTATTTCAAAAAAGGTTTCTTTCCCTTTTCCTTTGTTTGGTGGTCCATTATTAAGTCCTAACTCGTTTCTAATTTCTTGAGTCATTTTCTCTTTCCAGTTTTGGACGTGTTGGATCTCTTCTAGGGCTGATTCAATTATATTATAAGTGCATTGATGTCTTTTGGGGTTTTCGACATAA